TGTGTTTCTTCCATTTGCGAATAATCGCACCAACTGTTGTCACCTTCTCACCAAGCTGCTTGGCGATGGTCTTGTAGCCCATTCCAGCCTTGTGTAGGTCTACAATCTTGTCCCTGACATCCTTGGAGAGCTCTTTGGTCTTGGCCATGGTGGAGAGTTTGGAATCTGATTGATTGATTGCTTCTGTGGACAGGTGTCTTTTATATAAGTAACAAACTGAGATTAGGAGCACTCCCTTTAAGAGTGTGCTCCTAATCTCAGCTCATTACCTGTATAAAAGACACCTGGGAGCCAGAAATCTTTCTGATTGAGAGGGGGTCAAATACTTATTTCCCTCATTAAAATGCAAATCAATTTATAACATTTTTGACGTGCGTTTTTCTGGATTTTTTTGTTGTTATTCTGTCTCTCACAGTTCAAATAAACCTAACATTAAAATTATAGACTGATCATTTCTTTTTCAGTGGGCAAACGTAAAAAATCAGCAGGGGATCAAATACTTTTTTCCTTCACTGTATGTATCACACAGAATAATGGTCCCATCAAGCCTTTATACCAACTGGATGCACGCAAAAGGCGATCTCTTCCATCAGACCAAAGGATCTGTGTACTCAAACATAACAACATTTCCAAACAAAACCATCCTATTTTGAATATTGGAAAATATGAAAAATGTGTCTAGATCAGTTGGATTGGGTTCCAGAGAAACATGTGAAAAGCACATAGTCATTGCTCTAAATATAGTCTATCCTGACAGACTGTTGATATAAACTGGCCAGTGCATGAGAAATGTGGTTCTGTGTTCCGAGGTACTGTGTGTGTTGGTATGTTGAAGGTTTTAAGCACAGAGCAAGGATACAGAGAAATGTGCTGGCATGTTGCTATGGTAACTGCCATGGTTAAACTTCTTTGACCTTTTCCACATTTTATTGAGATACAGCCTGAATTTAAAATTGAGTAAATTTTTATTTTTATTTAGATTCATGTCAAAGTAGAATTATGTTTTTAGAAATGTTTACAAATTAATAAAAAATGAAAAGCTGAAATGTCTTGAGTCAATACGTATTCAACCTCTTTGTTATGGCAAACCTAAATAACTTCAGGAGTAAAAATGTGCTTAACAAGTCAGATAATAAGTTGCATTGACTAATTCTGTGTGCAATAATGATGTTTAACATGATTTTTTAATGACTACCCCATCTCTGCACACCACACATACAATTATCTGTAAGGTCCCTCAGTCGAGCAGTGAATTTCAAGCACAGATTCAACAACAAATACCAGGGAGGTTTCCCAATGCCTCACAAAGAAGGACACCTATTGGTAGATGGGTACAAAAAAAAGCAGACATTGAATATCCCTCTGAGCATGGTGAAGTTATTAATAACACTTTGGATGGTGTATCAATACACCCAGTCACTACAAAGATAAAGGCGTGCTTCCAAATTCAGTTGACGGAGATTAAGGAAACCTCTCAGGAATTTCACCATGAGGCCAAAGGTGAATTTAAACCAGTTACAGCGTTACATGATAGGAGAAAACTGAGGATGGATCAACAACATTGAAGTTACTCCACAACATTAACCTAAGTGACAGAGCGAAAATAAGGAAGCCTGTACAGAATACAAATATTCCAAAACATGCATCCTATTTGCAATAAGGCACTAAAGTAATACTGCAAAAAATCTGGCAAGAAATTAACTTTTTGTCCTGAATATAAAGCATTATGTTTGGGGCAAATCCTACACAACACATCACTGAGTCCCACTCTTCATATTTTCAAGCATTGTGGTGGCTGCATCATGTTACGGGTTTGCTTGTAATTGGCAAGGACTATGGAGGTTTTTTTAGGATAAAAAGAAAAGGAATAGAGCTAAGCACAGGCAAAGTCCTAGAGGAAAACCTGATTCAGTCTGCTTTCCAACAGACACTGGGAGACAAATCCACCTTTCAGAAGGACAATAACCTAAAACGCAAGGCCAATTATACACTGGAGTTACTCACCAAGAAAACACTGAATGTTCCTGAATGGCCTAGTTACAGTGCCTTGCAAAAGTATTCATCCCCCTTGGCATTTTTCCTATTTTGTTGCATTACAACCTGTAATTTAAATGGATTTTTATTTGGATTTCATGTAATGAACATACACAAAATAGTCCAAATTGGTGAAGTAAAATGAAAAAAATTACTTCTTTCAAAAAAATCAAAATAAATAAATATTTGGAAAAGTGATGCGTGCATATGTATTCACCCCCTTTGCTATGAAGCCCCTAAATAAGATCTGGTGCAACCAATTACCTTCAGAAGTCACATAATTAGTTAAATAAAGTCCACCTGTGTGCAATCTAAGTGTCACATGATCTGTCACATGATCTCAGTATATATACACACCTGTTCTGAAAGGCCCCAGAGTCTGCACCACCAAGCAAGCGGCACCATGAAGACCAAGGAGCTCTCCAAACAGGTCAGGGACAAAGTTGTGGAGAAGTACAGATCAGGGTTGGGTTATAAAAAAATATCCGAAACTTTGAACATCCCACGGAGCACCATTAAATCCATTATAAAAAAATTGAAAGAATATGGCACCACAACAAACCTGCCAAGAGAGGGCTGCCCACCAAAAGGCAATGAGGGAATCAATCAGAGAGGCAAGCAGGAGACCAAAGATAACCCTGAAGGAGCTGCAACGCTCCACAGCGGAGATTGGAGTATCTGTCCATAGGACCACTTTCAGCCATACACTTCACAGAGCTGGGCTTTACAGAAGAGTGGCCAGAAAAAAGCCATTGCTTAAAGAAAAAAATAAGCAAACACGTTTGGTGTTCGCCAAAAGGCATGTGGGAGACTCCCCAAACATATGGTCAGATGAGACTAAAATTGAGCTTTTTGGCCATCAAGGAAGACGCTATGTCTGGCGCAAACCCAACACCTCACATCACCCCGAGAACACCATCCCCACAGTGAAGCATGGTGGTGGCAGCATCATGCTGTGGGGATGTTTTTCATCGGCAGCGACTGGGAAACTGGTCAGAATTGAAGGAATGATGGATGGTACTAAATACAGGGAAATTCTTGAGGGAAACCTGTTTCAGTCTTCCAGAGATTTGAGACTGGGAAGGAGGTTCACCTTCCAGCATGAAAATTACCCAAAGCATACTGCTAAAGCAACACTCAAGTGGTTTAAGGGGAAACATTTAAATGTATTGGAATGGCCTAGTCAAAGCCCAGACCTCAATCCAATTGAGAATCTGTGGTAACTTAAAGATTGCTGTACACCAGCAGAACCCATCCAACTTGAAGGAGCTGGAGCAGTTTTGCCTTGAAGAATGGGCAAAAATCCCAGTGGCTAGATGTGCCAAGCTTATAGAGACATACCCCAAGAGACTTGCAGCTGTAATTGCTGCAAAAGGTGGCTCTACCAAGTATTGACTTTGGGGGGGTGAATAGTTATGCACGCCCAAGTTTTCTCTTTTATTGTCTTATTTCTTGATTGTTTCACAATAAACAATATTTTGTATCTTCAAAGTGGTAGGCATGTTGTGTAAATCAAATGATACAAACCCCACAAAAATTCAATTTTAATTCCAGGTTGTAAGGCAACAAAATAGGAAAAATGCCAAGGGGGATGAATACTTTCGCAAGCCACTGTAGGTATTCTTCTTGTCCAGATGGGATTGGGCAGTGTGCAGTGCGATGGCGATTGCATTGTCTGTGGATCTTTTGAGGCGGTAAGCAAATTGAAGTGGGTCTAGGGTGTCAGATAAGGTGGAGGTGATATGATCCTTAACTAGCCTGTCAATGCACTTCATGAAGATAGAAGTGAGTGCTACGGGGTGATAGTCATTTAGTTCAGTTACCTTTGCTTTCTTGGGTACAGGAACAATGGTGGACATCTTGAAGCAGGTGGGGACAGCAGACTGGGATAGGGAGAGATTGAATATGTCCGTAAACACTCCAGCCAGCTGGTCTGCGCATGCTCTAAGGACACGGCTAGGGATGCCGTCTGGGCCGGCAGCCTTGCGAGGGTTAACACGCTTTAATATCTTACTCACGTTGGCCACAGAGAATGAGAGCCCACAGTCCTCGGGAGCGGGCCACGTCGGTGGCACTGTGTTATCCTCAAAGCGGGCGAAGAAGGTGTTTAGGTTGTCCGGGAGCAAGACGTCATATCCGCGACGTGGCTGGTTTTCCCTTTGTAATCTGTGATTGTCTGGAGTCCCTGCCACATACACCCCTCCCCTTCTTCTTGTCTCAACATTTTAAATTATACTCAAGACACAATTAAATTTTAGTCATTTAGCAGACGCTCTTTTCCAGAGCGATTTACAGTTAGTGCATATATTATTTTTTTATACCCCCTGATGGAATCGAACCCACAACCCTGGCGTTGCAAACGCCATGCTCTACCAACTGAGCTACATCCCTGCCGGCCATTCCCTCCCCTACCCTGGACCAATTGTGCGCCGCCCCATGGGTCTCCCGGTCGCGGCCGGCTACGACAGAGCCGGGATCTCTAGTGGCACAGCTAGCACTGCGATGCAGTGCCTTAGACCACTGCGCCACTCGGGAGACACATTATGTGTTTCTCAAAATGCATACTACTGCGCTACAATATTTTATCTTGATATGTTAATAAATATATGCTGTGTTAATTTTGGCAACCTTTGGGTTGCTAGACATTCGTGGTCTAGTCTATGAGACCAGGCTGATGTGTCTCATTTGCAAGGGAAATCTATAGAGACACAATGTCAACAGTATATCTTCCAGGATTCAAAGTTAATTGTAACAGGAATTGAGGGAGATAACAGAATTCAGCCATGCCTCTCATCTGATGGGTAAGAATCAATGATTGGTCTTATAACTTTGTTACACCACTTAGCTGACAATGGCAGTGAGACTTTTCTTCTAGAGAACAATATAAAAGATAATACTTTGAAAAGAGTTGTATATTGGACTGTTGTGATGAGCCTGTAATGATATATGTTTTCTTGACTTTACAGATTAAGGCTATCAATGGAAGGGAAACTTTGGGGATTTTGTTTGACCACGGCCATACTACTCTTTGGCAGTAGCTGCCATGGCACTCCAAGAGAAAGTTGTAAGTTAAGTTTTCCCTTGAAATCTACCAAAATAATTTCATTACCACAGTATTTCTCATGCTAATCAGTCAGAAATGTATTAAATATTATCTTTTTTATTTACAAAATTAATATTACTTTGTGCTAAATTGAAAATAATTTTAATCATATAATAATATACTTTACGATAACATTTATTTTCAAGGGGCTTGGATGTATTGCTTGTGCATTTAAAAAAGGGAATGTGAAATATTGATTGAGGGAATGCTTGAAAATGTTTTTGTTTACAGAAAATTCTAATCAGATCAGTCCTTAAATGTATGCATTAACTGTCATTGTATGTCCAAGTTGTACAGTACTGATAGTGGACGATGACACATATTTAGGAGTCATTAGAAATGAGAAAGCTTGTCCATAACAGACTAAGTGTTCAGGTACAGTATGATAACTAACTGTTAGAGGAGAGGTGAAACATTGGTAAAATATAGTCTCATGTTAGTGACACATCTTTAGAAATGCATTACCTTCTTTCCAAATTGGATGGGGAATTGTGCCTTACAGGAGGAAATGGACAAGATGAGGCTCTGCATCATATCCACTGGAGAGAACACAACAACATCAGGTCTTACTTTATGTAAAACTGTATGTACGGTGCCTTCAGAAAGTATTCATACCCCTTGACTTATTCCACATTTTGTTGTGTTACAGACTGAATTCAAAATGGATTACATTTTTCTTTCCCCCATCTACACACAATACCCATTTAATGACAAAGTGAAAACATGTTTTTAGACATTTTTGTAAATGTATTGAAAATGAAATACAAAACTATCTCATTTACATAAGTATTCACAACCCCTAGGTCAATACATGTTAGAATCACATTTGGCAGGGATTACAGCTGTGAGTCTTTCTGGATAGATCTCTAAGAGCATTGCACATCTGGATTGTGAATAACATTATTATTTTTCAAATTCTTCAAGCTCTGTCAAGTTGGTTGTTGATCATAGCAAGACAGCCATTTTCAAGTCTTGTCATAGATTTATTGACTCAAGACATTTCAGCTTTTCATTTTTAATTAATTTGTAAACATTTCTAAAAACATAATTCCACTTTGACATTATGGGGTATTGTGTGTAGGCCAGTGACACAAAATCACAATGTAATCAATTTTAAATTCAGGCTGTAACACAACAAAATGTGAAAAAAGTCAAGGGGTGTGAATACTTTCTGAAGGTACTGTAGATCTATAACCACTGTTGCAGAGTCCAGTTATGGGTATTCAAATAATTTAAATTAATTGTATGAATACTTTGTTGTAATTCTGCATATATCTTTAGAAAAATGTCATCCAGGATTCCCCAAATGTACATTTGAAGTGAGGAAAGATGGAAATTCACACATCATAACTCTGCGTAAAGATGATATTGGCAAGCAAGCGCTCAACTTGTGGTTTCCTCTGAGAAATAACATAACTTCTAAACCATCACAGTTCTATCGAAATGCCATAGGTAAAGTAGATGTAATCATTTTTTGGTGTAAATACTTTTATCAGAGATGTTTTGGATAACATAGCCAAGCTACTGCAGCCATTGAGGTGTAGGCTAATGTACTTTTGGGGGCAGTTTCATGGTTTGCATTCACTGTTATATAGTGTCCTCTGCTGGTGAATGCTAGATCAAACACCTGTTTTGTAATGCAGTGCTGTGGTCAGCCTACAAGTACTGTAAGCTATTAGTCCTAACCTTTTAATAGGTTGTCCATTTCCATTTCATTACCAACAAAATAGTACATGTACAAACATCAAAATAATACATGTACAAACATCAGAATAATACATGTACAAACATCAAAATAATACATCTACAAACATCAAAATAATACATCTACAAAGACTTACACGAATAAACATAACCTTATCAATTAGGCCAAACATTACAGCATACGTGTTTCAGTATGAATTGTGTGTTCCAGAGCCTCTTCCGCCCTTAAAGCCTGGCTCCATAACTGGAGGTAAAATAATTGTACTGTAATTCTAAGTTAAATGTTATTTTGACATTCATAGGAGCCCATGTCATAAACAGCAGGAGAGATCTAACTGCATCGTTTTATTTGTTTCAGCTACTATTTTGATTTCAGAATGATTTAACCATGTGCTTTTGTAATGACCTAAAAGGTGATCAGGCTACTCTGGTGAAGCCAGAAACCATATGTGGAGAAGATTTACCCTATGATGCACATGCCTGCAGAGGTAGCTACAGTACATGCCAAACATTTATATAATGTCATTATGTTTAAATGAATAAAACTGGACTGTACTGTAGTTCTAATGAAGAAGTCATACTGGACATTCAAATGTGGTCTGAGCAAAATGCATTGTTTTTGTTTTGATTGATTTGCAGATAAGACCACAGATACATTCATTCTTACGATCACTATGGGGGCAACAATCGCGCAAAGTTGTGTCACATGTGACAAACATGTTGGGAAGCCGGATATAAATATATCTGTATCCGGCTCCCAACTGGAAAGTGAGGTGATAAGTGCTCATTTGGCATCGTAAGTATTTAGACTTTAAGAAGTAATAATACAGTAATACTATAGTACATGTGACAGCAAACATTATCTTCTAGTGGGGCAGATGTAACAGTGGTGCTAATAATCATGGTGGTTTGTGGGAAAACAATTTAGGAGATATGATTTAGGTTCATCACAGAAAAGTCTAGAACATTGTTAGGGGATCTGAAAAACCACGATCAGTCAATGGGAAATATCATTATACTCTTGGGTAAAGGGCAATATTGGTAGAAATGTAACAAATAGAGATGTGCAGGATCCTCGTAAGACATCATAGTACAATGGAGGGATGTATTGCAACAGGAAATAGCAAAATGGCATTATACTGGGAAAGATGGGTTAATCTGTGGACATCGGAGGGTTGGAGTAAAGATCAGAATTAATGGTGGATTTGCCGCTGTGGGTGAATATCCAGCACTTGAAGAGGAAATTATGTATAATATTATAAATAATCATTTAACTACAGGTACCATAGATTTGAGCAAAATAGCTGTAAGTAGCAGTAGAGGTATTGTTGTCCGTTAGTTTACTCCAATCAGGGTAGGGATGGTAGGGTAGGGGGGAAGTATAGATTAAAAATACTTCAAACTGATAGAACCTACAATCTATCTGCAATATTAAAGTTGATCTACCCCCACACAAAAAAAAAAAACGTCTAGAGCAAGGCAAACTCATCTATATTTCAATATTCTCCCACTATGACAGTGAGTCTATGAAAAATCTTTCCTCATTGATTGAGCTGATGGGAAACACCAGCACTGCAGCCATTTCTATGGGAAAGGTTAAAGGACTCCTTTGTAGACTTCGTAAAGGAAATCCCAAGGAAATCTACTTTGGCTTTTCCCGTAACAAGGATATGACTGTAAGTACCGTAACTTGCCCGTTAGAGGTAGAACAATTATTACTATTAGTCAGTTAACTTATTATGAAAGTAACTGTTTTATTCTTGAACAAAATACTATGAACTGTACACTGATTGATAAAGTTTGAAATTATAATTATTCTCGTATTGTCGATTGTTGAAAACAAGGATGATTTAAAGAAAGATTTCAATCGATCTGTGCGTGTGTCAAAAGAGGCCTATGACATGGTATTCAATCAGGGTGGCACTTTTGTCGGGGTTCTTGCCTTTCCCAGCATGTCCCAGGTGAACATGAATATTACTTTGACTAAAAGTTACTTTTAACAAACAGTAATTCAATATACCGTTAAGCATAAGAGGTAATCATGTTACAAGTGACATGTTACATTACACTTCATCATTTCAACATGTCATCTCCTCACTCTTTCTAGGATGAAAAGAAGAGCATTGTTCTAAATGGTGAGGTAGTTGGAATAGACATGGGAGTCCACATAGCTAATCTCACAGACACCATTGATATTGAGTACAGAAATGTTGACAAGGTAAGAGACTAATAAAAAGCATGAGCTGGCACATACCCAGAGAAAACTATTTAGTGTAGAGGTGCTGACTAACAGTGAATAAACTGTAAGCTATAAAAACAAATAAAGAGAGTCGCACACTCTATGTATAAACTCCCAGTCATTTATTGGGTAAGAGAGACTTTGCATTATGTTACTGGAACATCTTTGGATTAGTATGCATGAAAGAATGAAGGAGTAACGCATAAATTATATGTTTTACACAGGGGGGATTCAATGTATTTTGTAATTCTTGGAATGGAAAAGGTATTTCACTTTGTTTCTGTACATTTTCAAACCATTTGGTTATTTTAATTTAGAGAACTTTGATCATTTAAAAGCCAAACATTCAAGAACTTCCAATAGAGAGGCTTGTGGGATCTTTTTCTCTTTTAGGAAAACTACCCAATTGGACCACAGATGGCTGTCAAACCCTGGAGAGCAACAATAGCATAACCTGCCAGTGCACTCATTTATCAATTTTGCAATGCTAATGGTGAGACGTCCTCTCCATTTTCTCCTGTTTGAAGTTACATTTCTTTGTCACTTTTAATCACATCCATAAGCTTATTCACTTGCACTTCTTATTGTGATCATACACAGTCACCTCCACCAAAGAACATCAGTGCCTCAGATGTGGCATCTCTAACCTACATTTCCTACATCGGCTGTGGATTGTCTATTTTCTTCTTGGGAGTGGCTATCTTCATGCAGTTTGTGATAAGGTATTTTTCATTATTCAACACAACACGTACAGTGTGAGTATGATGACCAGTAGAACTCTATAGCAGGCTGGCCATGTCGAGCTAACTGAGAATACTGACGCTGAAACAACAAACTCTGTACTCCTCTGGTTCCACAGCAAAACCAAATCCAGCCAAGCCACCAAGATCCTTGTCAACCTCAATCTTCCTGAACCTGACCTTTCTGACCAATGAGACCATTGCAGCCATGGGGAGCTATGTTGCATGTGTCATCATAGCAGCAGTCATGCACTACTCCATGTTGTCCACCTTCACCTGGTTCCTGATTGAGGCAGTCCACTTGTTCCTGCAGCTGAAGAAACGCAACATTCACTTAAGGTTTACGTTGTGGGATGGGGTGAGAACAAAGTCGTATTAGGGTGTATTAGAATACTCCTCATTGTACATCATTGATCGACACAACATACAGATCTTAATTTGATCCCTCTGTTGTCACAGAGAATTGTCCTGCACGGCAGGAAATGCAAACTTGTAGTGGATTCAAGGTTTAAAAAGGCTTCAAACGTTTTTAATATCTGCTTTAAAATGTCAGACTTGATTTGCCGTAACGAAAGATGTATCAACCCCTACAATAATGTCCATTAATTATAATCCACATAATAATGATCATTTCCTGTTGTTGCAGAATTATTTTCCTGCTGTGAGAAACTGGTCAAATTAAGATAGTACATCTGTAGCCTCATACCAGTTGGATCAGGCATCTGGCATCAACCCTGTGTGAATGTTTCTCCTTCTCTTCAGTCCTTCCAGCTCTAGTGGTCATCGTCCTTCTGGGACTGAGCAAATATAAACTCATGTCCATAAACACAGCTGATGGGAATTCAGTGAAAATGTAAGTGGACATTTTACTGTTGGAATTGTCTGTTCTTTTCCTAAGGATAATCAGAAACCATTTATCTCATCGACTGCTAAAATACATTTCCCTTGTACATTTCAGATGCTGGATCACTGACATCTACTTCCATTATGGAGTCAACATCGGCTATTACGCCTGGGTGTTTGTCTCAACTTTGACCATCTTCATCATTGTGGTGAGGCAGATCTTGTTGCTGAGGAAGACCAAGGCAGGCGAGGGCCAACAGGACCCAGCATCTAAGAACACCTTGGCCATCCTGGGTCTCCTATTCCTGCTGGGCCTCACCTGGGGCTTTGCCTTCTTCAGCTTCGGACCCATGGTCATCCCATCCTACTACATCTTCAGCATCCTCAACTCCTTCTAAGGTAGGCATCGCTCAATAATGACGGGGGTTTAGGATGAGGATGGCAGTGGTTGCATGCTGTAACCTGATTTGTATCATAGTTAGGGCCATGATCTTTTCCATAACCATGAGGTCTGACCAGGATAAACATCCTGCCCTACAGTTTTTCCTGGTCAGGTCATGTGGTCATGGAAAACTCCTGACCCTAGCTGTGTATCATGGTGCATGTCTAAAGCTATTCCACTACTGATAGTGACTGAGCTTCCCTCGCCATCCAGGCTTCTTCCTGTTCCTCTACTACTATAACACCAACAAGATCATCGGTGATGACAGGAACTCTGTATTCACCAACCAGAACACCTCTACTTCTTTAAACATCTATGATGACACTCCTCGTCCCAAGAAATAGCTTAGATCGGAGCAGTTGATGTATCTTAGTACACTAGGTTTACAATTGCAATACACTGAGCACAACCGATCATGACAGAATCAGGATGTTTTCAAGTTTTTATTATAGATTTACTATAATATTCTATTCGATCTAAAATATATATACTCTGTTTCTATTTGCTTATCTTTGTGCATGAATTCCAAGAATCCCTTTTTTTTTTTTTAATGTATTGAATTTAGTTGTTTCTATATGATCCTTCAAGTAAAATAGACATATCTAAAATGCTATCAATATTGTTGTTACTGTATAGAATGTTTCCAACATAATTTTGGTTTAGTGTAATGAAATCTTCATTACTGTATAGCAGGGTTCCCCAACTGGCGGCCTGCGGGCCGAATTTGGCCTGCGGGTGATTTTATGGGGAGATTGTAAAAACACCAGCAAATCAGCTCCAAGTGATTTTAATTTGGGAAATCTGCTCCAAAGTATTCCCACGCATAATAGAGAGACACCGTATATGCGATAGTATACAAATGTAAGCAAGGTTTGAAATGATTATGTTTTAGTCAAATATTATATCTGTTTGGACTTCTTGCGGTCAATTTGCGGTCTACAAATTATTTATAATGAAGTTCCGGCCCCCTGATCATACTCTCAAGAAGAAATCGGCTGGCGGCTGAATGTAGTTGATGAGCCCTGCTGTATAGTAAATCAGTTTGACACAAGGGGGCAGTCTTGTTTTCTTTTCAAAGTTTAGATTTTAGTGTGAGACAGCTGAGACAGGTTTCCCAAAAGCATCTTAAGGCTAAGTTGAATAATTGAGCTCAATGGTTCTAAAGATGAACTTAGCCTTAAGATGCTTTTGAGAAACCAGGCCCTGATCAGTTACCGTAAGTCTCTCTCTCTTTCTCTCTTTTCTCTCTCTGTCCTTCTCTCTGTATCTAAATGCTCAGTAGTCTTGAATTCTGAATGAGCTCTCTGATGTTATGTGGCTACCTCGGTTTAACCTCAATGAAAAGGGGGCATGATATCGGCTAAAACAGAGACATAGAGAGTAATCTTTAGGGAGTGATTTGTGTGAATGACTCTTATATGTGTTATTCCAACCAGCATAGGTCCTCTCTGACTCCCCGTGTAAAACATTGAGGAAAGTCAGTAATTCACTCTGACTAGGCTAAATAAGAGGCATCTAAAATCAGGGCATGCTTCAACCACTTGTTTCGATTAACAACAGTATGGTCATCAAGAAAAACATGACCATTCTATGAGTGGTCTGCACACACTGAGAGGAGGAACACATAGTCTCACAGTTGGAAAAGGCCTTTCTGTAACTCATAGAGCAGAGATAAAGTACCACTAGGCTAGGGGCTGCGCCAGCACTTTGCGTGCCTGCAGATAATTACCCAGTATCCACTGAGCGGGGGTCTTAACAGGCTAACCAGGAATGATCTCATGGCGACCTATAGTGATTGGCAGCCTGAAGGCAAGCCACTATATTGTCCTTTTTCTCCTCAGTCTGCATTCCTGTAAGTTCAGAGTGTGCAGTAATTTACATTTTGTATTGAGTACAGACAGACAAACTTGGTTTAATGGTACAAAGCAAAAAAGGAAGGAATTGCTGTCATGTATAGGTTTACTACTCTATTGCAATCTATCTTTACTTTTTCAATATTTTCTACTTTCAGAAGAGTTTTGGGCTGGGATATATTTGCCTCCACCATCCCTGAATGCATCTGTTCCATTTTTCTAGCCTTGAAACCACAGGATCCGGGCCTCCTGAGGGGTAGTCTTGTCTAAGCTGAAACCATAGAGGTTCGTTTCAATGGTGTCTGCCCGCTGATACAATTAGTTGGCACAGGGTTCTGTGTGTGGCCAGGTTCTGCTAAACTGATGTTTCTGAGCGTTGTTCCTGGAATGTGTGGGACAAAGAAAGTGGTCTACCATACAGATGTGAAACTGTTTTTGTGAATCAAACTGACATTTGATGTGGCGTGCACTGGATCAAATCAGGAAGTAGTTGGGAAAGAGCGGTCAGCAGACGTTCCTGTTATGCAACTCCACTCATAGTAATGACTTAAGTCAGAGTAGTATCCTCAGAGGAAGCGGTTCATAGTCCCGCCTAACTAACGCAGGATTCTGAGCGGAAGAGAACAAACGGGAGTTTGTTGAACGACATCCAGAGAGGCAACTGTTTATTTACCTATAACTGATTAATCTTCCAAATGACTCAGCGTGCCAGCCAAAAACTAGGGTCATTACTGCCATACATGTTTGATTTGTATTGCCCAGAAAGGCCTCCTACATACAGCTACAGCACAGCCTGACTCTGTGTCTGCCTCTCTGGCCTCGCTACATACAGTACTCTGTGGAGAGGCCTCCTGCTGCACTCTGAAGCAGCTCTGTTCATTGTGCTGCACATTAGTCATGGTGGCTTCAAATCCCAAATTAAATTTTCCTCAAGAATTGAACTCAGAAGAAAACTCAACATGGATAATGACTTATTTTAAAAAAAAATCTATTTTTTTCTCTCTCTCTCTCTATCTGTGTACATCCAAATGTCTGTCTTAACATTCGGCAGTTAATGATTACATTTACATTTACATTTACGTCATTTAGCAGACGCTCTTATCCAGAGCGACTTACAAATTGGTGCATTCACCCTATAGCCAGTGGGTTAACCACTTTACAATAATGTTTATTTTTTTTATTTTTTTTGGGGGGGGGGTAGAAGGATTACTTTATCCTATCCCAGGTATTCCTTAAAGAGGTGGGGTTTCAAATGTCTCCGGAAGGTGGTGAGTGACTCCGCTGTCCTGGCGTCGTGAGGGAGCTTGTTCCACCATTGGGGTGCCAGAGCAGCGAACAGTTTTGACTGGGCTGAGCGGGAACTATGCTTCCGCAGAGGAAGGGGAGCCAGCAGGCCAGAGGTGGATGAACGCAATGCCCTCGTTTGGGTGTAGGGACTGATCAGAGCCTGAAGGTACGGAGGTACCGTTCCCCTCACTGCTCCATAGGCAAGCACCATGGTCTTGTAACGGATGCGAGCTTCAACTGGAAGCCGGTGGAGTGTGCGGAGGAGGGGGGTGACGTGAGAGAACTTGGGAAGGTTGAACACCAGACGGGCTGCGGCATTCTGGATGAGTTGTAGGGGTTTAATGGCACAGGCAGGGAGCCCAGCCAACAGCGAGTTGCAGTAATCCAGACGGGAGATGACAAGTGCCTGGATTAGGACCTGTGCCGCTTTCCTGTGTAAGGCAGGGTCGTACTCTCCGAATGTTGTAGAGCATGAACCTGCAGGATCGGGTCACCGCCTTGATGTTAGCGGAGAACGACAGGGTGTTGTCCAGGGTAACGCCAAGGCTCTTCGCACTCTGGGAGGAGGACACAACGGAGTTGTCAACCGTGATGGCGAGATCATGGAACGGGCAGTCCTTCCCCGGGAGGAAGAGCAGCTCCGTCTTGCCAGGGTTCAGCTTGAGGTGGTGATCCGTCATCCATACTGATATGTCGGCCAGACATGCAGAGATGCGATTCGCCACCTGGTTATCAGAAGGGGGAAAGGAGAAGATTAGTTGTGTATCGTCAGCGTAGCAATGATAGGAGAGGCCATGTGAGGATATGACAGAGCCAAGTGACTTGGTGTATAGGGAGAAAAGGAGAGGGCCTAGAACTGAGCCCTGGGGGACACCAGTGGTGAGAGCACGTGGTGCGGAGACAGCTTCTCGCCACGCCACTTGGTAGGAGCGACCGGTCAGGTAGGACGCAATCCAGGAGTGAGCCGCGCCGGAGATGCCCAGCTCGGAGAGGGTGGAGAGGAGGATCTGATGGTTCACAGTATCAAAGGCAGCAGACAGGTCTAGAAGGACAAGAGCAGAGGAGAGAGAGTTAGCTTTAGCAGTGCGGAGAGCCTCCGTGACACAGAGAAGAGCAGTCTCAGTTGAATGACCAGTCCTGAAACCTGACTGGTTTGGATCAAGAAGGTCATTCTGAGAGAGATAGCAAGAGAGTTGACTAAAGACGGCACGCTCAATAGTTTTGGAAAGAAAAGAAAGAAGGGATACTGGTCTGTAGTTGTTGACATCAGTGGGATCGAGTGTTGGTTTTTTGAGAAGGGGTGCAACTCTCGCTCTCTTGAAGACGGAAGGGACATAGCCAGTGGTCAAGGATGAGTTGATCAGCGAGGTGAGGTAGGGGAGAAGGTCACCGGAGATGGTCTGGAGAAGAGAGGAGGGGATGGGGTCAAGCGGGCAGGTTGTTGGGCGGCCAGCAGTCACCTGTCTAGTATATTGACTTGCACCAATAAGTGCTGATTTCTGTATTTTTGTTATTGTGTTTTTTCAAAACAATCTGACTATGTTTTAGTGCCAGATATCAGACTTGTGAAGTGCAGAAACCTTGGGACGCAATCTCCATATCTTATATGGCTGCCTGAATGTCGTTAAAAATATTACGAAAATATTAAGAATGTTCATTTTTGCCATAATTTCACATTATTATTTGTTACCCAAGTGAAAAAAAAGGTAATCACAATAACATTGATACATGTGTTTCCTTTAGCGGAGCA